GCATCATGGGGCCCCCCAGCAGCCTAGGCCTATAGCAGCATAACAAAGGGAGGGCTCAGGGTCACCCAGCCCGAACTATAAGCTTTATCAAAAAGGAACGTCTTAAGTCCAATCTTAAAGGTAGAAAGGGTGTCCGCCTCCCGAACTGAGACTGGGAGTTGGTTTCATAGGAGAGGAGCTTGATAGTTAAAGGCTCTGCCTCCCATTCTGGTTCTGTGGACTCTAGGAACCACAAGTAAACCTGCACTCTGAGAGCAAAGTGCTCTGTTAGGATGATAAGGCTCTACGAGGTCTTTAAGATACGATGGAGCCTTGTCATTAACATTACTCTGGCTGCAGCATTTTGGATTAGCTGGAGGCTTTTTAGGGAATTATTGGGATATACTTATAGTAAAGAGTTACAGTAGTCCAGCCTGGAAGTAACAAATGCATGGACCAGTTTTTCAGCATCACTTTGAGACAGGATGCTCCTGATTTTTGCAATATTGCGCAGGTGAAAGAAGGCAGATCTAGAGACTTGGTTTATGTGTGATTTAAAGGACATATTCTGATCAAAGATGACTCCAAGGTTCCTCACAGTAGTACTCACACTATGTCTCTATTCTGAGTTTTCACAGTACACCTAACTATCTAATTAAGTGTGAAATATTACGGCTTGGTTTATTAGCACTCCTTCAAAGGCTTATTAAAAACTGTGAAAACAGTGAACACTTTCACCTGTTTTTTTTTAATTAGTAGAACATTCCACTCCCAAATTAATGGTGTTAGTTGATCCTCATCAAGTCAAATTAAGGTAAAATAGCATGTTGACATTACAAAGGAAGTGCTGTCTGTCACACATACTGCACTCACATGGACATAATATACTGCACATACTGACCATCTACTTTCAGAACATGCATTCTCATCCACATGCACACACGCAGACCTGACGCATAATGAGTTGCTTTATCCCCATATGTGTGTTTGTGCTTTATTTGAGCTCATTTAGAAGCAGACAGGTTTTATTTAGGGCTAGACATATTAGGATGCTGTTGATGTCTACTAGTAAATTAGATACTAGCTAATAGCTTATTTCTTCTGGTGGACACACAGAACATTACAGACAGTATTAACTGGTTGGTTGAAGGATTAGGACACAGAGACAGACAGCTAGAATGATGGACACAGGCAGAGCAGGACTACACAACAAAGCATGAATTACTGCACTGCAGTGTTCTGAATATATGGAAGTAGCAGAAACTGTCAAATAAGCAGTGTTATGGTTTGTCTGCAACATGATAGGTAGTCCCCCATCTAGGAATATCTGTAACCTTATGTTAATTTTGAAATTATTCACACATCATATTATACATGCAGCAGAGCAAAAATGACAGCACACTAGAAGCTTATGTGATTTATTTAAAAATAGCCGATGCTTTGACCCTTTGTGTATTGTTTTCAGGTGTGAGATGTGAGCACATAAATGTTATTGATGTTTATGTAACTTATGTCACTAGCCTTGAAGAAAACCAGTGGGTCCCAACGTCTGCATTATACCCATTTTGGATTAAATTTGTCATGACCAGTATCTGTTTTTTTAAATGTGTATTCATGCTAGTTTAATTTGATTACATGCAGCCAAGCAAATGCACCCAAAGACAATTTAAAACCAAGTAATTGTCTACTAATAGGAGCATATGTTTCCCTTCATTCCATATAGACCCTTCAGTATTTTCTTTGTTCTCCTTTTGTATTTTCCCATCAATTAGTTTCCTTTATGTCACCCTCCTGTCATGGCTATCTGTGCCAGATCAGCCGCTGTTGTCAGGAAAGCACCTCTAAAAGGAGAGCTCTCATTGTGGCTACATACAATGTCTCCGGGTTTTTTTTTTTAATTAATTTTTTAAGAGATATGTCACAGCTGTTTTTACTTCCCAGATCGTCTCATTAGCTTCAACACAGGCAACAAAAGAGGTATTTAGATGTTAATTATTGTTAAAAAAAAAAAATCTATCTTTGGCAGTAACTTTATTGAGAGGATTTAGAGATGTGTTAAAATAATTTTTTTTTTTTTTTTTTTTTTTATACTTAAAGAAAGAAGCTGCATAAACAAGCAGATTAAAGCCTTTGATTGACTTTCTCCATTGAACTATACAGTATGAATAAAAGTGGTCATGGGTATCCCTGTAATGTCTCCCTTTCTTTATCCAGGAGCCCCTACTGGTCCCTGTTTAAAGGAAAACAACTCCCACTGGCAGCTGCATGCTCATTACTACCCTCCTCTGCTGCGCTCAGCCACAGTAAAGAAATTTATGGTGGGGTATGAAATGCTGGCCCAGGAGCAGAGAGACCTCACCCCTGAACAGGTGAATAATATAACATACTGTGTAGTAATACAGCAAAGGTGAGCATTGTCCATTTAATACAGTTGTGTATTTGTTTTTAATCAGAGCAAAAAAAAAAAAAAAAAAGCCAATTAGGCAAACAGAAATTTTTACCAGTTAAACTTTAAAGGGAGATCAATTTGTGAGATGCTACCCATTTATTTATTTTTAAACTATTATGTTCCATCCTGCCAATATTACGCAGGCTTCCTTTTTTCTTCTTTGCAAAGTTTTATCAAAGTTTTGTGAACATTTTTTAATGTCCTTCCCAATGTTTGGTCAGTGACTCAAACACCGATTTCCTCAGAAAATCAATTTGCCAATCTGTTTTTCAATTCAAGGCTGGATACTTTATTGGTATCTCTTCATATACCTTCAAACCACTGCTGCAACTGTGTTTCAGCTTATACTCAGTAGCCCACTGATGTCTTTGTTCCCATTTTCCTATCTTTATGAAACCTCACAATTTATTTTCTTGCTTTTTCAAGCAGTTGTTTGTGAAGCCATATTCTGTAGTATTAGACACAACCCAGACCAGGATAGTAAAAGCTGTGATGTTCATAGGCCCCTTAATAATCTCATTCCTGCCATTAGTCTTAATTGGAAATCACAGGGGTACTCGTTTTTGCTGCACTGACATTGTGCTGTGGGGCATTTTCAACATTGTCTATCCACAGTAACCGCTGTTTTTAATTCTGCATGAAAGCTAATTCCCTACAGTTGAATTTAACAATAATACAGTTACTATAAGATGGTCCAGCTTTGAGTAATTTAACATTTTAGTGATATTGCACACTACTGTCTTATTGGCATCTGTATGTATGAACAACATTGTTGTTCTGACAACATGCAGTACAGACAGGTATTTTCTTCTTCAATCCACTGTTATAAAGTTCTGAGATTTGAGAAGTTCATGTTACTGCTTTTACACACAGAGGCTATCAAAGGCTGATCTTCTTCTAGCACACAAACTGCAAATCCAGGTTTTGTAGCGATTTCACTCTCTGGCCCCTGCATTTTTCTTTCAAACTGTATAAAAGCTCAGTGTTGCTGTGTTTTTGCATTTTTAGGCTGCTGAGAAACTAAGAAACCTGCCAGACGAGCACTATAAAACCAGAGAAAACCAAGAAAAAGGAGAAGCAAAGGAAAATGATGGGCAAGAAGGAAAGTGAAAGGACCTATGTGATGTGTGGATAAAAGGAAGAACTGTTCAAACAGGAGACCAGTTTTGTTTCATCCTTTTTGGAAATGTGAAGTTGAAGTACTGCTTTAGAATTACGATCAAAAACATGAAATCAAAGTGCCTCTGCCGGCACAGATTAAACATATTCTACTTACACAATATACAGATTATGTATATTTTTTTCATACATACAGTATCTGCGCTCCTTTCTGTAATTATAAAATGGACCTCAAACAAAATGTTCTATGGAACCCCTGCTCAATTTTTAGGGCAATATTAAGAGAACATTGGGTCTCATTCACCAACCTTTCTTAAAAACAGATTGGTTCATTAAACCCATTTATTAAGTTTTCACAAAGATTCTGGGATTCATCAGTGTTTTCTTATCTGGGATTAGTTTTTTAGGGAAGAACAGAATCTACACACACTCAGGAGCACACTTCCATTTGAGTGATGACATGTTTGTGTGAAATTATTTAGTATTTTTATGTTTTACATTGACCTGTCCAGGGTGTACCCCGCCTCTCGCCCGCAGCTGGCTGGGATTGGCTCCAGCCCCCGTGACCCCGTTTGGGAATAAGCGGTATAGAAAATGGATGGATGGATGTTTTACATTTATATAAGATATAAATTGCAATGACAGTTTTGTCATTTTTAATATTTCTTTATTTTTCCATTATTTTACGAAACATGGTGGTCTTTTAAAATGAATAAACACTGCACTAAAAATTACAGCAAGCGATTCATTGCTTGTCTGTAAATCAAGGTTTTAATTAATGTAACTTTTATATTCATTACTGACACTACTAAATATGGCTGCTTACTCGTTCTCCACTTCATAACTACTCAGGTTTTTCATTGGTTTGGAGTTCGTTGCTCCACTGTCCTTACGTTTTCGTTGCAGCGTTCCTGACCTTCTCAGATTCTCTTTTCTGTGTATGTGTGAGATGTGTGTGCAGCCTCATGCCCTAGTATGGGCATTGGCAAGGTGTTAACCTATACTAATTAGGAACAACTGGGGTATGCTTTCAACTTGTGAACACATGGGATTCATCAATACACAGGAGTGAACAATTCTGCAGTTTAAGAACATATTCATAAATCAGACACAGACTTTTCTTAGGACCTTTCTTAAGAACATAATAGACAATACTGGCTGCTCTCCTCAGATGTGAGTGCCCAGCTAAGATGTTTTTTAGCCACAACACAGAATGCCCATTGAAAAGCCCAGAATAACAGCCAAGACCATGCATGGCTCATCTGGCTTACACTTGTAACCTTCAACCATATTACATATAAAAGATGTGAAGAACAAGTTGAAAGTATGCAAATAAAAAATGCCCAGACAACTCTTGACATGTTGAATGAGGTGTGCTCTCACTATTACAACAGCAGATGGTACTGTTGCTTAAAAAAGGAGGGGTGGATGACCTGGGTTTAAGCTGGGAGTCCAACTCTGCTTTAGCGCTGCCAAAGCTTGAAACTGCAATCTTAAATATAGATGTACAAAGCTGTGCATAACATGTTTATATTTTAATTTTGTTAATTTGAATCCAAATTGAAATGCATTCAATGATGAGAACTATTCAGGACCATACGCTTATTCCTTCTGTTCTTTCAGTACAATCAGCATGAAGTTATGAAAGTTGCTGAGTTTATCACAGTGAACATCATCTTTGTTTTTCTTTATATTGAAGAAAAAACTAAATGTTACAGTTTTGACATTAAATAATATTTCATGCAGATGACTTGGAAGAATTAGTCCTATATTACTTGTGTGGGGCTGACACAGAACAACGCAACAGGGATTTGAAAATGTAGAACTGTAGGCAGAAGTCCATGCCAAAATGGTAAGTTTTATCAGCAAACACTTTCCATTCCAACTCCATTCCAACTTTATTTATAAAGCACTAAAAACAACCAGGGTGGACCAAAGTGTTGTACAGTGTAAATAAGAATATACATTAAAAATAAACAGCTTACAAGTATAGCTAAAAACAACACCAATTTAAAAAATCTAAACGCCAACGAATATAAATGAATTTTTAAAAGAGACTTAAAAACAGACAGAGAAGAAGCTTGTCTGATGGGCAGCGGTAAATCATTCCATAGCTTGTGGGCAGCATCCGCAAAGGCACGATCACCCCTAAGCTTGCGCTTTGTTCTGGGCACACTTAAAACTAACTGATTAGCTGACCTCAAAGAACGCATAGGTGTATGCCAGTGAAGCAAGTCAGATAAATAAGAAGGTGCAAAGGCATGAAGGGATTTAAAAACAAATAATACAATTTTATAGTGAATCCTAAAATCAACAGGTAACCAGTGCAGGGAGGCCAAAACTGGAGAAATGTGCTCATATTTACCTCTACCTGTTAAAAGATGCGCTGCAGCATTTTGGACCATCTGGAGGCGAGCGATAGAAGACTCGCTAATCCCCAGATACAATGTATTGCAGTAATCCAGTCGGGTGGTGATAAAAGCATGAATAAGTGTCTCAAAGTGCCGTCTAGAGACCATTGATTTTACTTTGGCCAACTGTCTTAGTTGAAAAAAGCTAGATTTTATGACAGCTGCAATTTGGCAATCAAATTTTAGATCGGGGTCCATCTTAACCCCCAGGTTTGAAATATTTTTCTTGTTATATTAATCTAAAAAGCCCAGGTCAATGGAGAGAGACCCAACAGTATCACCAAACACCATCACCTCAGTCTTTTCTTCATTCAGCTTCAAAAAATTAAGTGTGAGCCAAGATTTAATGTCCTCAAAACATTCAAGCAGTGGCCTAACGCAAGAATTTGTCTTTTTAACCGGTAAGTAAAGCTGGCTATCATCTGCATAGCAATGAAAGGAGATGCCGTGTTTCCTAAGTATGGAACCAAGTGGAAGGAGGTAAAGAGAAAAAAAGAAGGGGCCCAAGAACTGAGCCTTGTGGAACCCCATACAGAAGGGGCTCAGAAGAAGACATAGCATCACCAAGTTAACACAAAACATTCTATCCTTAAGGTAAGACCGAAACCATTCTAGAGCTATACCCCGAATACCCACCCAGTGCTCTAATCGACAAATAAGTATATTGTGGTCAAGTCAAGGACCACTAGAATCACACAGTTCTCAGAGTCAGTGGCAAGAAAAATATCATTTATAACTTTCACCAAGGCTGACTCAGTTCTGTGCAGGGTTTTAAACCCTGATTGAAAAATCTCAAGAATATTATGCTCTACCAGAAAAGCTAGTAACTGAATGTAAACGATCGTCTCAAGAACTTTGGAAAGGATTGGCAGATTAGAGATAGGCCTAAAATTAGCAAGCACTGTGGGATCCAGACCAGGTTTCTTAATCAATGGCTGTACCACTGCGTGTTTGAAATTCCTTGGGACCAGCCCAGAGGATAAACTACTATTGATAATAGAAAGGGCAACTGGCCCCACAACTGGAAGGACCTCCTTTAAAAGACGAGGGGGAATAGCATCTTTTGGAGAGCCAGAGGGATTCAAATGACCAACAATCTCCTGACAACGGGACAAACACACTCAAACTGATCAAAAACAGCAGATCAGGAACCATAACCAGGAAAATCATAAACAGGAGATAAAACCTGAGCTCTAGTAGAGAGAACCTTGTCATTGAAAAAATGTCAACTCAACACAAGCAACCTGAGGACCATTCACAACTGAATCAATAACCTTAAATAAAAGATGAGGTTTATGACAGTTCGGCTGAATGATATTAGAGAAATAATTTCTCGTAAGATTTTTCACAGTTTTTTGATAACGATGCCAAGAGTCTCTTAGTATCTGAGGTGATACCTGTAATTTATCTGTTCTCCACCTGTGCTCAGCCCTGCAACACTCACGCCTGGCAGCACGGGACATTTCATTTAACCAGGGCTCAAACTTAGCCCTAGGCCGCCTAACCTTCAGTAGTGCCACCGCATCAATAGCAGCCTGACAAGTAGAGTGAAAATCTAATGCAAGCTCCTCTGTGTCCACAGAGTCAGAAATTACAATATTTTATATTATAAAATAATATGGATTTCTGCCTATTTTAATAGGCAGAAATCCATGCCAAAATGGTAAGTTTTATCAGCAAACACTTTAATGAAAAAAGTTCCACAAAACAACATAAAATTGTACAATGAAGAAAAAAACATCAACAGATAATCAGCAGATAATTCTGCAGACTGACAGCAAGCTGCCTCATACTTCCTGCTACTATACAGGCCAGCTGCTGGCTTTGTACCTTCTCAGCCTCAACAGCTTTAACTGGAATATACCATCTGCTGAAATAAGCAAAGCATTAAATTCCCACACAATAACAATCATAGAAATAATTTAAAATTTCACATTTACTGCTGATATCACAATTAACTTATGGGAACACACGAGCACATTAGTGCACCAAGTTTTGTAGAAAGTCATTTCCTAGAGAACAAATTTACCTTCATTTCCCAATAAAACAGTGGTGTCTTTAAATCAATGTCACGACCAGAGATATCATTCATCAGTAATGGCATAGGTAGCTATTTCTATCTAAATTTTAAGAAAACATTGAGCAATTTTTATAAACCTCTACAGTTACTTTATTATTATTGTTGTAGTAGTATTTGTAATGTAGCTCCATTTTGCATGTATCTGCTGTTTACCCTCTAACTTGGCAGTTATTTTATTTTAATGAATAAAGTTCTCCATGGCTTTTTTGTCAGTCACCCTTTTTGTTTTTTAGGCTTTCTTTCGAGTACCGACTAACTGTGGTTTGGCAGAAAAATGTCAGTGTTGTTTTTACAGCAGAAAAAGCAGGAGCAGGTCTGGAATTGTGATTATTTAATAGAGAAAATCTATTTCCATCAGCCTTTGATATAGCAGCTACCCCACCTCAGGCAAGTGCAAAAACTTTTTTCCAGCTCTTATGGAGGGTTTCAATTTCCAGTACACTGCACATAAAAATAAATGAGTGAATGAATAAATAAATAACAAAATAAATAAAAGGTGGATACAGGTGTGCTTGCAATGGTACATGGGCAGTGACACATATCACACACTCAGCACTTCCATTATTTATACTACCTCCAGTGAAGCCCAATCTCAGTTTTTCCATAAATATTAATATTGATCCCAGGTTTTGTTAAAAAATTTAAGGTTGAATAGTGATGTGTTCATATA